TGGAGTGCACTTGAATGGGCAGATGTTCACTTTTTGGCTGGCTCTCATTCGTTATTTTGAAAAAAAAACGCATCCAACATCCACTTGTGCTGGTCTCCCACGTCAGTCATTGCACCACCCGCCGTGACCTCAGCGTGCAGGTCATTGCGCCACTAACGCCGGAAAAGCTCGCAAATGAAACCTGGACAACCACAACCACGAAAATCCAACCTCCCTGCAGGTGTTTTCAAGACATTTACAGCCACTTCCTTACATGAGAGGAGAAATGAACTCCTCGCGTGGGCGGTGGGGTTGGAGGGCAAGGTCGTGCCAGAAAAGAAGCAAAGCGGCAGCTGCAGAGCTCTTCCTCGGCCTGCCGTCACGCCCTCGCGCCGTCCCGTGATGTTGATGAAGTCATGAGGCTGACTCAGCAATGCAGGGCTGCAGCACAAAGACAGACGGGGAAGAAAAAAAAAAAAAGAACATGAAGGAGATGCTTCAAAGACACACAAATGGACAATTCCTCACCATGTGGGGAAAATAATGCACGATAAACTTTGAAATTCAAATTCACTCAGGGGATTTATTGGTGCGTTCATGGACCGAACACCTCTTGTAAATTTTGCCTTCCAGCTCCTTGTTCGATTACCACCAGAGATGTTCTGCTTCAATTCCGATTGGTATTTAACCCTTTCATGCACCCTGTAACCTGATAACATGAGAAGCTGTACACTGTAGTAACCGCTGTCCCTGAAAGAGGTTAATTTTTTTTTTTGATTGTTTGTTTTTCTTTCCATCATGGCACCAGGACAACGCTGAGCAATCGTCAACAGTACTTCGAGTGTTGCAGGGCACTTCCAAAAAAAGACTGCAATGTATTTGTAGCTCAAACAGCTTTTTTTCCATCATGACACCAGGATAACACCGAGCAATCGTCAACAGTACTTCGAGTGTCGCAGGGCACTCCCAAAAAAGACTGCAATGTATTTGTAGCTCAAACAGCTGTTGCCTTTCAAAGTCCTGAAACATTGAACAGCTGGACATGAGCGATCCAAAAGGTTCAGGGTCAAATTAAGGTCGCACACAAAAGCATCTTGAAATTTCACCTCATAGCTGGAGCTTTTTTCCAAGTTGCAATCAGCTTATACGACACGGAGCACCATAAAGTCGGTCTATTTTAACGCTAATTGCACATTACAACATGTGGAAAGTTTCCAAACTTTGAATTCGTCTGAGAGACTGTTTACATGCCTCGGTAGGAGCTGCTAATTTGGTTAGCAACAAAGTTCAAAGGCTCTCCGCAGTTCACTCTTTCCTGTCCGGATTTGAACAAATGAACGATGGTAATTCCAGTTTTTGGATGGGGAAAAGGAAGACGTTTATTTTGGGGAAGTGTTTATTTCCGACATTTATCGGCTTTTGGCGTGATGTCGTTCGCAAGCAGACAGTGAGAGCGTGCGGGTGGGGTTTTGGGCGAAAACCATGTTGCCAAGGATTGAAAGTGATTGAACTGATTGTCCTGTTCCAACACGTAGCATTCCCAATTCATCTCCAACTCTTTCAGTCACGCGTCGACACCAAATTCACCCAATTACAAAAATCACACTGTCCAATCATTTCATCTATCAAAGCTGAATTCTGTGACTCATATTCCGATCATAGTTTGAGTGTCATACGTTTCCTCCTCAATGCATTACTCATCCCATTTTGATTTCTGGCGCAGTCTGTGTTGATAAAGATGTCAATCAGTGTCGCGGCAACAATGGTGGGTCAACATGTCATTTGGTGTCTTTATATGAAGATAATGTCCTTTGTTTTGGTCTAAAGAAGCACAAGAACATGAGGAAAATGTTGAAATTTAATAAACAGATCTAGCGGATACTCCATGAATTGCACCTTATTAAAAATATTCATTCCGTGTCTTTTATGCATTTTTTTCACTTTTAAATTATCCTGCGGGCCTGATCGAACCTCCTTGCGGGCCGATTCCGGCCGGAGCACCATAAAGTCGGTCTATTTTAACGCTAATTGCACATTACAACATGTGGAAAGTTTCCAAACTTTGAATTCGTCTGAGAGACTGTTTACATGCCTCGGTAGGAGCTGCTAATTTGGTTAGCAACAAAGTTCAAAGGCTCTCCGCAGTTCACTCTTTCCTGTCCGGATTTGACTCCAAAGTAAAGTGCATGAGAGTAATCCAGCCTAGATATGATAACTTTTCATACTGCAGTTGTGTAAAAAAACAAATAAAATTGTCGAACTGGTTAATAAAATCCCTGGCCAATTTAAGGACAGGAACTAAAATGTAACACGCAAGCATGTATCACTGTACAAATCCCGAGAGAGTAGTCGCGTAATGTAACGGCTCAATCGTGAAGTGAAACTGCCTTTCTTGCTGAAAGTGTCAACTCGGTCTGCCGTAGGGAAGGCAAGAGGGAGGTCGGACGCAGTCGCGGACAAGCTTTTAACACCCATCGCGCTTATTTAGACAAATGTGTTGGAGGCGTACGCGCTCTCCATCTTGCAAAGAAGACAAAGTGCCGAGTCATCCATCACACGTTCGTGTCCCCCGATGTGATTTATCCATCCAGGCAATTAATCAAGTCAAGTGCCCCCGAGACTGAGCATAAAAGCCCCTTTTCTTGAGCGTTGTAAATTTTACTCAATATCAACGGTTTGCTTACGACACATGGAGTAGATATCCTGCGGGCCTGATCGAACCTCCTTGCGGGCCGATTCCGGCCCACTAGCCGTATGTTTGACACCCCAATCATCTATTGAATAGATGATTGTTGTTGCATTTTCTGAAAAAAACGCCCTCTAGGGGCAAAAAAAAAAACAATTGCCCCCCCAAAACAGGAAAAAAGCAGAAAAAAGTCAAAATCAGTGGCGTGCAAAGGTGTGTGTGTGTGTGTGTGTGTGTGTGTGTGTGTGTGTGTGTGTGTGTGTGTGTGTGTGTGCGTGTGTGTGGAGGGAGGAGATGGGGGTCACTTCAGTTGTCCTTCCCCTGTGTGTGGAGGGAATGGGGGGGGCACTGGAGGTAAGACGAAATTTGGTGGTGCAGCTAACACATGCACAAAAAAAAAAAACAAAAGTAAAGAACAAAGCATTTGGAGCAAAGTGTACTCTGACAAACACCTGCTTGTGAAATGGAAACCAAATTGCCCTCAAACGGTATCATCAAGTCTCACAGCTTTTTACCAAACATCCGATTTCAAAAAATTCGTCTGAAAATTCTTTTCACCACAAGTAACCCTTTCATGCACCCTGTAACCTGAAAACGTGATAAGCTGTCCACTGTAGTTACCGCTGAAAGGGTTCATGCGTTTATCTATGGCCAGCGACATATAGACACAGTCAGAACAATTTAATTAATATGCTTCCACTTGATGACAGAAGGCACATACTCAACCTGCGCGTTCACTTTTTGGTGATTTTTTTTTTTTTTTGGAGTGGTTTGGTGATATTTGTCTGACTGGATAAATGTGAAGAAACTTTGTTTAATTTCAAACAGGTCGCTGCTAGGTAACGTCATTTGGGAGCAAATGAATGGCGTGAACAAGTTTTATTTATAGGCTATTTTTAAAACAACCTCAGCTCAGGCAAAATTCAAAAAAATATCTGAATAAAACATATGCTTATTGAACATACAGTAAGACCATTTTTTAAAAAAAAAAACGTAACAAAGTTGAAAACTACAAAGCAGGCACTAAAATTAGGCCTCGGTTCTCATGTCACATTTTGGACGCCAATGAGGAAAAATGAGTTTTGCTTCTGGTGCTGACTGACTCCAAAGTAAAGTGAATGAGAGTAATCCAGCCTAGATATGATAACTTTTCATACTGCAGTTGTGTAAAAAAACAAATAAAATTGTCGAACTGGTTAAAAAAAAACCCTGGCCAATTTAAGGACAGCAACTAAAATGTAACACGCAAGCATGTATCACTGTACGAATCCCGAGAGAGTAGTCGCGTAATGCAACCAACGGCTCAATCGTGAAGTGAAACTGTCCTTCTTGCTGAAAGCGTCGACTCGGTCTGCCGTAGGGAAGGCAAGAGGGAGGTCGGACGCAGTCGCGGACAAGCTTTTAACACCCATCACGCTTATTTAGACAAATGTGGTGGAGGCGTACGCGCTCTCCATCTTGCAAAGAAGACAAAGTGCCGAGTCATCCATCACACGTTCGTGTCCCCCGATGTGATTTATCCATCCAGGCAATTAATCAAGTCAAGTGCCCCCGAGACTGAGCATAAAAGCCCCTTTTCTTGAGCGTTGTAAATTTTACTCAATATCAACGGTTTGCTTACGACACATGGAGTAGAGAAAGCCACAAGAGAAAAGCAGGAGTGACAACTGCACTTGCTCAACTTCTTAAAGAGCCGTAAGACGAATGGCACCTCACCCAAAATTGACGGATTCCAGATTATAAATGGACGACTGTAATTTGTCTCGACACTCCTTAATGGGGTCTCTAATCAAAGTGTCTTGGACACGATCGTATGTTGTCCGCCATCTTGAGGGAAGAGGAATGACGCTTTTATTTTTTAAAACGCGCATTTATTTGGAGTGTAACTAAAACTACGGTTCGGTACGTACCGTACGTTGGTTTTAAAGCAATGGTTCAGTTCACTTTGAGTACGGTAGGGGTAACAAATTGCAAAACAGAAAAGCGCTTTTCTTTTGAGTACCGTATTTTCCACACTATAAGGCCCACCTAAAAGCATTCCATTTTCTCAAAAAACGACAGTGCGCTTTATAATCCGATGTGCCTTATATATGGATTAATATTTTGATTTTTTGGGGACATAGTCTTTTAAAAATTCTCTAAAGCACTTTGTTACGGCTGCAGCGGTTGTGAAAGCTCAATATAAATAAAGCTGTATTGCATTGTATTGTATTCCCATTAGCGTAGCTCCATCTACTGGATGCATAATGCAACCGCAGCCACGATTGTAGCTTCTATTCTATGCGCCCTGTATACGACAACAGTTTTAAAATAGGCCGTTCATTGAAGGTGCGCCTTATACTTCGAAGCGCCTAGTGCGGAAAATACGGTAAACGGGATTACGTTTTAAAATAAGCGGTTTGGAAAATGGATGGATGATAATGAAACATGCAAAAAAAAAAAATTTGTGAATTGTCCAATGAAAGAAACATTCTCGACTAAACATTAGCTTTCATCCATTTTTTTGTTCTCAAAAACGCAACATCAATAGTTTGTCTTCTTTTTTGGAAATGAATAATGGAGTGCCAACTAGGAGACTATTCTGGATGATTTGGGATGAGAGATCGTGAGTAGACCCTGAACTGGTTGCCAGGAGGTCGCAGGGCGCATATCGACAAACAATCATTCACACCCATGGACAATTCCGAGTTGTCATTGAAGCTAACGTCTTTTGAGTACAGTACAAAGAAATTCTTGGAGTACTGTGTAATGTGTG